TCTGTAAATCTTACAATAAAGATTTTAACTCTTTCCAATGTTCTTTCAGACAGTTTTGCAGTGGGAGCAGGCAGTTATGGAGGCCATGAAGCCACAAGACACCTTGAGATCCCACACAGCAGCTCTGCGCTTCTGTACGTAACCGCATAGAGACTACGTGGTTTATTTGCTGCGTTTTCTACAAGGAACATGTCCATACTTCTTTTTAAAAGTACAAATAGCATCTCAGGTGTGCCATTTTAACCATTTGTGTTACTGCATTACAGCGTGGTTAAGTGTTTTTCCTTTGTTAGGCTGCTGGATAACTGGCAAAGTAAAGCATGGCAGCACGCTTAGGGCCACATGTAATAACTGAGTTTGCTCCTTAAAATTCTAAGTCCAAACTGTAAACGTTATTTTTCCCTGTGCACATCTCAGCAAAGCAGTCAGTGTTCCAGGCTGGCTTGGCCAGAACTCTTTGCAGCACTAGTGTGCATTTTACAGTATAACTCTGTGTTTCCCAAAATCTAAACTTGATTTTTTTTCTCTGTAGATGGCAAGACACGCAGAATAGAGGCAGCAGTCAAACACAAGCTGGTGGAGACAGAAACAACAGCGTCTGGAAACCTGCAGTTTTACAAGGAAAAAGTTCAGAGTTGCCATTTACCTTTGAAAAAGGAGGTTGCGGGCAGCCGCGAATTAAAGAACAACAAAAAAAGGCCTTTGGCTGAACAAGAGACAGAAAGGACTTCCAAACAGAAGCATCTGTGCCTCACTGTGGAGGACTGGGATTTGTTAAATACCTACTGAGTCACCAAGAAATGGGTCTTTTGTTCGTTGTTTTCTTGCCGATGACAGAATTCAGGCATCCTGAGAGGGAGTAACAAAGGAGACCAGTGCTGTTCAATCTGGTTGCTGTGATGTGCTTGGGGAGGGACAAAGTCAAGGACGAGGTTGATGATACTACTGTATATTTTCAATACATAGTAATTTTTTCAAATAAAGTTTTTGTTGTTACCGTTAACTAATTCTTCTGCTGTAGATACCAGTCACAAAAAATAGCTGGTGCTCTCACTCCTCTCAAGGGACAGAAGCCTAATCGCTGCAGCTCATCTGAAGTGAAGCTGCACTGTGCTTGGCTGGTGCCCTGGGACATGAACAGTGCTGGTGGAACAGAAAGCCCAGCCTGTGAGCACAAGGCTGTGCTGACACAGCTCTGGCAAAGGCAGGAGGCAAAGAGGATGAGCACAGGGCCCAGGGAGGGAGGCAGAGAGAGTAACCCCTGGGTAACAGTTCCTGCAGAGCTCTAAAGTCAAACAGAAGTCCTTTCTCTCTCATTTTAGCCCAGGAAATGAAAGCTGAAACTAGGTTACTGTAGAGATTAGGCTCTGCAGTTGTAATATCCTCTCCCTTGTGAGCAAATTCTCTGCATTTGAGAGCATTCTGTGGTGTAAAACCCATTCTTGGTATGCCTGCATTAGCCATACCTCCCCACCTACTCAGAGAAGTTCATAATTCACATACAAGTTACACATATTTCCTGCAAAAAACCTAGATACTCTGACTGATTCTGTGTTGGTGCCTGAAGCCAGGGCTACAGCTGTAGTGCTGCCGGTGCAATTATCATTGAATTCCTGCCCTGAGCTGCTGTTAAAATTGGCTGAGGTGCACAGTGCCCCTGAGCTGGGCCCTGAGACCATCGTGTGCCCTCAGACCTCTACGGCCAGGAATTCACTACTGGCAAGGTAGGTTTCCTCTACTAGTGCTTATTTAGAGGATATCTTCCCTGCACACTTTGTTTACCATAATTCAGTGACAAGACAGCAACACATCCTTGGAAATCACGAAGAGGCCAAGAAAAGGAACATTGCCTCAAAAATGCATAAAAAGCTAAACCCCTTCCTCTCTCTGTTCCTTTATTGCTGAATTTTCCTCAAAAAAGGACTGCACACGACCAAAACAAGCACACTTGCATGGTTCCACTGAAATTTGAGAAGAAACTTCTTCTCAGTGAGGGTGACAGAGCCCTGGCCCAGGCTGCCCAGAGAGGTTGTGGAGTCTCCTTCTCTGCAGACATTCAAAACCCGCCTGGACGCCTTCCTGTGCAACCTCATCTGGGTGTTCCTGCTCCGGCAGGGGGATTGGACTGGATGAGCTTTGGAGGTCCCTTCCAAGCCCTGACGGTCTGGGATTCTGTGTGATTCTGTGATTTTTTTCCCCAGAAACTCAAGGCTATTAATAGCTTCCACTGATGAGTACATCAGCCCTCCACTGAGAAATACAATGGCACAAACAGTGACTCAGCAGAACTGCGACTCAACAGGGAGGAAGACGACTGTGGCGCTCAGATATAATCCCCCTCCTGCAGCTGGCTTGTGGTCTAGTTGGCTTTTGCTAGCCCTTCCACCACTGCACAGAGCTGCTCATCTCTCTGTGTCCTGGAGGATCGTACGCTCCATTTCACATCAGTAATGTGGCTGGGAGCTGCCGCTGGGAGCTGGAAAATAGGCACATAGTGATCTGGCGTGAATGGTCTGCCCAGGTCGCAGGCTCATGGGTAAAATAACACGGTACATCTCTCCTTTAGAAAAGAGGGGTTTTGGAGCACTACTACCTGGTACAAATACTCCTTTTCTTATGTTTCC